AAGCTGTGTCCTCTGGACCCTCCAGGGGTGGGTATGCATGTCTTACATGATAAATATACTCTCGCATTCCAATCTCCCTAAGACTTTGGATACCTTCCTCTATAATATACCAAGGCAATTCTGGCATTTCAAATTCATTTAATGTAGGTCATCTTTTGATCCATGTTTGAGCCAAACAACCAAGCAAACCATCAGAGCCCTTTCTAACTCCCTGAGCTCCAATATTATATGTAGAATCCCTGCATAGTGGGCCCATATCAATAAATGTGTCCAGATCAAACTTTATGTTTTCCTTCCACCATTATCTTCTATCCTTCATATTCATCCACAAACATGTTCCCCCAAATTATGCCTGGATTAATTGGAAAAATCATGTTGTTCTTTTGGAGTGTAGTGCAACTCCTCATTGTTCACACTTTGTATCTCACCTCTTGGGGACTGCTGGGCCTTGAGTGTACTTATAAATCTAAAAGTCAAGCAGGGTAATGAGGATGGGTCCTGGAGGAGAAGCAACAGTGTCTTTCAAGGCAAGTACCTCAGGCAAAGCAGTATTAATCTCTTCAGATGGGATGGAAGGACTGCTTCTACTGGCAAAGAAGAGTAAGAATTGTTTAGGATTTTAATAGCTCCAGCCTTATTAGGATCTTTCCATATGTCTTCATACCAATTTCCAGGATTCTGGTACTTCTCAATTAAGAACTTCACTTTAACAGCAGAAAACATGACCTTATATATAGAAAATTCTAAGGAAACCACAAAAAACTATTATAATAAATGAGTTCAGCAAAGTTGCAGGGTACAGATTAATATTAAAAAAATCTAGTATATTTCGGTACACTAGAAATGACAAATCCAAAAATAAAATTAAGAAAATAATTCCATTTATAATATCATAGAAAAGAATAAACTACTTAGGAATAAACTTAGCAAATGAGGTGCAAGACTTGCACATTGAAAGCTACAAAACTTTGTTGAAAGAGATTAAAGAAGATGTAAATAAGTAGAAAAACACCCCATGTTTTTAGAGTGGTAAATTTAGTGTTATGAAGATGAAAATACTCTCCAAATTGATCAACAGAGTCAGTACAATCCCTATCAAAATATCAGCAGGCTTTTAAAATTATTCTTAGAGAAATTGATAAGCTGATTCCAAAATTTCAATGGAAATTCAAGAAACTCACAATAGCCAAAACAATTCAAAACATACTACAATTAAGTAATCAAATAATCAAGACAGTGTGGTATTGGCATAAAGGTAGATACATATATGAATGGAAAAGAATTTACAGTCCATGGGGCAGCTGGGTCACTCAGTTGGTTAAGCATCTGACTCTTGGCTTAGGCTCAGGTCATGATCTTAGGGTTGTGAGATAGAGCCCCACGTCAGTCTCCACACTTAGCGTGGAGTCTGCTTGAGATTCTCTGCCTCTCCCTCTCCCTCTGTCCCACCCCCCACTCACATTCTCTCTCTCTAAAATAAATAAACAAAATCTTAAAAAAAAAAAGAATTTACAGTCCAGAAATAAACTCTCACATTTATGGTTAATTGATTTGTGGCAAGGGAGCTAAGACAATTTAATAGTGAAAGAAATTCTTTTCAACAAATGGGCCTGGGACAACTAAATTCAAAATGCAAAAAGAATGAAGTTGGATCCCCTACCTCACACCATACCCAAAATTAACTAAAAATGGTTAATAGACACAAATGTAAAAGCAACAATTACTAAATTCCTAGAAAAAATATAGGAATAAATCTTTATGACCATGTAATAGGTATATCTTAGATATGGCACCAAAAGCACAAGCAACAAAAGTAAAGATAAATTGCACCTCATTAAAAGTCCAATTTATTATTTTATGTGATGAATGATAACTTCATTCATCATTTCTTTCCTTCAAATGATAACTTCTAGAAAGTGAAAAGACAACCTACAGAATAAATATTTGCTAATCATATATCTGAGAAGACACTTGTACACAGAATATATAAATAACTTTTACTTAAAATTCAACAATAAAAAGACAAATATAATCCAATTATAAAATCGAAAGTATCTAAATAAATATTTCCCCAAAGAAGATACACAAATGGCCAATAAGCACATGAAAAGATACTCATCATCATTTATCATTAGAGAGATACAAATCAAAACCACAAAGAGATGCCACTTTACATTTACTAGAATGGCTAAAATTAGAATGACAGATAACACTGTGCCAAGGATGTGGGGAAATTGGAACTCTTACACATTTATGGTGGAAATGTAAAATGGTGCTGCCATTTAGAAAGCATTTTGACAGCTCCTTAAAAATAGAGTCACCATGTAACTCAGATGTTTAACACCATTAATTAATTAATTATTTACAAATTAAACTATCCTTGGTTACCAATTTATCTCCATTCATCTGGCTAAACTATAAAAATGACATAATAAGTAAACTTAATAAAAAAAAGAAAGAGAAAAGGATAGAATCAGGGAGGGGTACAGAGGGGATTTCAAAAGTAACAATAATGTTCTTTTTCTTTAATGGGTATCCTTGTATTGTTATTCTTTAAACTGTACATAAACTGTACTATAAATATTCTTTCATATGGATTAAATATTCAATAAAAAATGATATATCAAGTGTTGGTAAGAAGGTAAAGCAACTGTTCCTTTCATACACTGCATATGGGCAGTAATTGGTACAACCACTTTGCAATAATCTTTGGTATATACTGATACTAAATATATGTCAAGCCCATGACCTAGCAATTCTACTTTTTGGTATGTATATACTCTAAAGATTTAGTGCTTATGTCAACCAAATAATAGATATAAGAGTGTTTATAGCAGCATTATTTTAAAAAGTATCAAAGTAGAATAACATAGATGTCCATTAATAGTAAATTTGATAAGTAATTTGTGTTCTGCTAATACAAAGGAATACTAGGCAAAACTTAGCTTTGGTAATAGAGGTGAAAATATTGGTCACCTTGTGGGAGAGTATTACTTGGGCTTGCTGGGGTACTAGAAGTGGTTCAATGTGTGTGTGTGTGTACCCACACCCACTTAATTTTTCTGAGTTGTGCATGTATTTGTATACTGTCCTGTATGCATTTTCTAACATATTAATAAAAAAGTGAGACTAGATTTATGTATCTCTCTTATTTTGGAAACAAACGCAGGATGTATATCCTAAAAACTTATGAAAACCTTACTTCTGAAGTAAGAACAAGGTTATACAGAGAGGAGACGAGGTAGAATTCCCCTGAGTATATCTTTTCATGTAGTTTTAACTTTTGACTCAAGTTAATGTTTTTATATTAAAAAATATATCAATAAAGATAGAAACATAACTTTTAGGGGATAGTGGCAGAAACAGAGATGTTGACAAGTAATTTCATCTTCTGTTTTTTAATTTCAGTCCCCCTGGGAGTTAGGTTGGGGTCATATGACTAGTACTGGCCAATAAGCTTTAAGAAGAAGCCTTTGGGCTGAAGCAGAAGAGCTGATTTTGTTCTTCCATATGTTCTCTCTCCTTGCTTCGGCAATCATGGAGGTAACATCATGAGACCTTGGAGCCATGGGATGGAATTCTTCCTGGATCTCTAAGTCACCACATGGAACACGACTTCCCTGAAGAGCTTCTCAACTTGTATTGGAGTTTTTGAGAGTGAGAAGTGAAGCTTTTTTGTTTTTATTTTTAATTCTAGTTAGTTAACATGCAGTGTTATGTTAGTTTCAGGTGTACAATATAGTGATTCAACACTTCCATACATCACCCTGTGTGAGAAATAAACCTTTTTAATTTGGGGACTAGTTTGTTGCTTCAACATAGCCTAGAGTATTCTGTTCAATAAAGAAGATGTAAAATTGAGGTGATTTGTCGAGAGGGAGGAGACATAGTGTCTATATGAGGGGAATTGGGGAGAGAGATACTCTTTGATACTCTTGGAAGAATGAGAATGAGAACATTTATAGAATATTAGAGCCAAAAGAAAACTACAGACATTATTCTGTTCTTTTCATTTTGAAGACAAAGAAACTAGAACCAGAGACTGATGATTGATTGGGTCAGGGTCACACAATGAGTTAGTGTAAAGACAGGATTGCAACCCTGGTTTTTAGGACCTTGAGAATAGTCTCAGGGTTAGGCTACAGTTACTTTTGAGAGCAGCTGGACATTTGCTTAGGATCCTTTAGATATTCTGAATTCCTCAATTTCTCGGTGAAAGTTCTAGATGGGAATAGCAGCCACCTGAGCTATCAATGTTTCCCCCCAACTCTGAAGTCACAACACAATCTCCTTTTCACCTCAACTTTACCGTCCTTCCATTGCAGCAGTCCACTGGAAATCATCAGGAAATTATTTTTTTTATAATAAATGGCACTTGCACTTTTTACTCTATACCTTTAATTGTTTGGATTTTTTTTTTATGATTTGAATCACTGGTGTAAACAAAGTAGAAAAAAAGAAAATGTCCTTGTTGGGAATTTTGTTCCTCTATCTTTGATATTTTGGGGGGTGGACAAATTCTTTCTTCCCCCATATGTAAGAATAAGAAGTACCTGTGGCATTGTTTGAATCAACTTCTAGAGGGCCTGTTTCATTTTGTTACAAATTTATTCTTTTGATTCATAGAATGTTTTTCTGCTTCAGCATTGCTTAAAACCGGGTGACCAGCCATAATCCCCCTGCCCCAACCAAATCTCTATAATTTTGATAATTTCCCCCTGTGTCTTCCTCAAGTTTATATTGGTTGTATCTTATTTTTTGTTCCCATCCCCTTATCTGTCCATTTCTGAGCTATGGCCATCACTAAGGCAGATACTTCCTGACCTCTTTTTTCCATCTTCACTCTGACCCTAGAGATTAAAGGAGGCCATTGTCACATCATAACTGGCCAGCCAATCAGGTGGGCAGCTCCCATCAATGACCTCCTTGTTCCAGAGGAGTTCTCAGGCAGCTTCGATGGAAGGAGGGAGCCAAGAAGGAGGCCTGGCATAAGTTCAAAGATGATAATTACAACATGGATTGTGTACATTCTTGCCCGGAAAGGTGCAGGGTTCCCCTTCCCACCAAAAACCAGTTCGGTAAGTATAGCTGGGGGTAGCTACCTGGAATTGTTTCTCATCTATCTGCTCCCTTCTGAGCTCTCCACTGCTCTTCCAAGAGATCTTATGATATATAACTGGATAAGAATGGAGGAGGAGGGCTGGGTCTCTAGGTATTCTGAGGCATTAACTTACCAATTTGTTGCAGGACGTTGAAGTTGTAGAAAGCGAGGCTGTATCTATAGTACAGCACTGGCTGAAAAAAGTGAGTAACATTCCTCTATGACTCAGGGTACCCCAAATTCTAGAGAGCTGGCCTCCGTGGGTGCAGGAATCTGGACTCCTTTCCCCTTAGAACTGGGTAACTCAAGTTCTTTGCTAAACACTTTGCCTAGAGCTGTGTCTAATTCACCAAATGTCCTGAAAGATGCTGGGGCTTGTGTCCTTGTCAAAGGTGTGTTGGAATCACCACTATCCTTACCCTTCTTCTTAAGGATACTGGATGAGGGGTTTCAGATGTGTCATCTCCAGCTACAGGGAGTCTCAGGGATACCTTGGGATAGGGCCAAGGACTTAATGAGTCCCCTGGAATTCTACAGGAAGGTAGTAATAGACATGCTTATTGCAGGGACTGTGAGATACAGAGTGTGTATGTGAGGACACATTACATGTGTGTTGTGACAGAGGGGAAAACAGGGAAAAGGCAGAAGAGACAGACTTGGGCTCAGATACAGAGCAACACTTTCAGGGGAAATTGCTCACCTTTCAGACTGAAGAAGAAGCTTCCCAGGACATAAAGGAGAAGATGTCCACCAACTGTACCCCCACCCATGGCCAAGATGTACATGTCACCAGAGATGTGGTAATTGAGAATTTGAGACAATCATCCTAGGGGAGTGGGCAGAGATGGAGGTGGGCAGGCACAGGGTCCAACTGAAAAGGGTCTTGGGCTAGTGGGCAGAGCTTGTCCAGGCTGGGCTCCATCCTGGCCATGGTGTCCTTGCTGGACAGTAATCATGTGCACACTACCCCGATTTCCTAGGTGAAGCACCATCTCTCAAAGTCCGATTTGTTGGCAAACCAGAGTCAAGACGTCCTGGAGGAAAGAACAAGAATCCAGTTCATAAGATGGAGGTAAAGCCTCTCATTTGCCCTGAGTGGAGTTGTGGGGAGGGAGGCACAAGTCCCCCACCTTTGGGATTCCTGGCCAACACAAACTCATGGCTATTCTTCTCCAGAGACATTGACTTCTTTGGCTGAGAAATTTTTCAGCCTTACTTTGGGGTTTTAAGGGAATATTTTTGCTATCTTGAAAGCCCAGCTCATTCCTAAGTTTTAACATGATTTCAGGGGTTGCAAAACTGGGCTTGCTCACCATTTCTTCAATGCTTCTGAATAAATTTCAGACTTCTGTTACTTTTGCACTTGATTTGTTCAGAGGTGGCTGCACTTTAAAGAGCTAAAAGAAAATAAGCTCTTAAAATGCAAAAGCCTGAGCCCTCATCTGCAGCTGAGGTGAGAGGAGTTTTTTCAGCACCCTAGGCTAGAATTCTGTGCTCCACATTATGGTGGCTTTGCCAGCCTCCCACCGTGCTTGCTAGAGCACAGACCACCTCCTTCCCTTTCCTGGTTCCAAAGGGCCGGAGACCCAATGTGGAGGGAACTGGGCCTGAAAGCTGGCTCATTTCTTCTGGCATAAGCTTCCCTATTTCCTTTTCAGGACTGTGTTCACTCAGGGTCTCTTTCCAGCAGAAGACTTGGGGGTTTAAACTTGTCCTCCATGAAAATGTGGAGGAGCTCTCTCTCTCATTTCTGTACTCTTTTTCTTCCCATGTCCCCATCGCCAGCTTTGTTCACTTCTATCAAGGAGGACGCATTTCTCCAGAAATGTATTTTTGCTTTGGGGATATCCAGTTTTCTTGTGTTTACCCCTTATGGTGCCATTAGTATTTTAAAACAGGATTCAAATGCTCAGGAGGGAGTGACAAATGGTGGAATTTGAGACCTTTCTGGAAAAGACTTTTTGGATGGGAACTGTATTCTAAAATCATAAAGGTTGGGGACTGTAATCCAGCCATAGCCTTATACGTGGGAGCCTGTCCCTGCCTGACACGGCTGCACTGGATGGAACTCTACATGTGGCAGTTCCTTGGTCTGGATAATATGAACATCATCTTCAGAAATTTTTTAGACCTTAGCTCTATGGCATAACCAGGTTAAAGCTTTGGAGACAAGCTACAGGAATCACAATTTTCCATATATAATTTTTCCACTTTGCACTTTCTGTGGATTTTTTAAGCCCATAAACTGTGCCTGGCTCCCCCTCCAATCCACTGGTTTTGGCATTCTTTTATTAGTTTCAGTAAATATGTAGTCAAGGAATACATATCCCTTCATTAAGCATCAGCAGATACTCATTTTTTTTGGTAGATGTTTGCTAGGCCCTCTAAAGAGAGAAAATAAGATGGAGTCCCCAGTTTCAAAGGGATAAAAGTGAACTCGATGAATAAGGTATGTGAATATTAGAGAAAATGTCAGAAAAGCCATGAGGAGTATCTACAAGAGCATAGCATGGGGGACCCAGCTTGTGCAAGTTCTAGGCTTTGCTACCTGGGGGACCCTGGAAAGGTTTCTAGCAGGACATTTGCTTGGACTGACCCATGGACTGGGTAGGGACTGAATAAACAAGAGTGGGGAGGAGGGGGCTTCCACAGGTCATGAGAGCCTTGGCAACTTGGCCAATTCCACCTGGCCTCCAGTGCGCAGGGCTGTGGCCCTTTCTCTGGGCCTTGGGCTGGGAGTAATCTCTCCCTTTTCTGGAATCCCTTTATTTTTTCTTACCCCATTCTTTGGGCACTGACTCAGCTCTACCTTGTGTGAGTGATAAATGAGCATATTTATCACCTTCAGGCTTCAAGTCTTTGAGGCAGTATCAATGCTGTCTTCACATTGAAAGTCCCAAGGCACCTAGAACAATAGAGGCAAAAATGGGGGATTCAGTTGGAATCGAGGGTTTGTGGGGGGAGAGGGGGATGGAGTTGAAGAGGACATGAATTGGACCACAGAGACAAAGGCAAGTCTGCATAGTGAAATAAAACAGAACAGCAGTGATGTGGGCCTTCAGCTTCTTTGTGGCAGATTTTTGCAGAATTATCTCTAAACCATGGTAAGTATGGCACAGTGTAGGTCATAAAGAGCTGATAAGGAAGTTGGATCCAGAAGGGGTGAATTCCATGTCTTACAAGACCACTGACCTGATGTGCACCTCTAGTAAAGGCACTTAACCTCTCTGTTTCTTCAACTCTTCTTAGGACCATTTGCTACCTGCCCAGGATTATTGGGTGGCTCAGGGGTACTTGATAGTAAAAAACAAAACAAAACAAAACAAAAAAATCTTTGTGTGCCTCATGCAAGACAAGTGAAGGACTAGCTCAAAAGTTCACAGAGACAGGGTCAGAACTATCGTTTGTATGATTCCAACCCATTCACTATGCCTAGTGAAAGAGAAACTCAGGAATCCCAATGTTTGAATGGTGTTTTGCAGCCATACCCGTATCTTCCAAGTGCCGAGTGAGGCGAGGAGTGACGTTATGAGAGACCGAATAGAGCAGGTGAGAAGAAGGTAAGCTGTTGGAGATTATCTGATTTGTACACCTAATAGGGTCAGGGGGTGGTGGGCGGGCGTGTTTCTGGCCTCTCCTTTGCAGGTTCCCTGACTGTGTCTGGAACCCTTCTATGTTGAGTGCCTCTTCGTAAGACTCTGCTCCAGGGCCTGAATGGGGCAATGGCTGACCAGCCACCCCAGCTCCATACCATGGTCTGGGTGTGCGCTCTGGGCAGGCTTTGCCATCTGGCAGCCTCCTGTCTGCCTTGCTCCTCTTCTCTGTCCCTGCAGCATAGGGAACCTTATGGATGAATCATCTCAGTGGATTCCCAACAGAAATTCCTATGCAGAATGCTGAGAGCTACAGGTGAGAGGGCGGACAGGTGAGGAGCTGGGCAGGGGAGATGGTGAGCCTGGGCGTGAGACATTGCACTGGGGCGGGAGCTTGATAATAAGGTTTAGCCTTTCCTTTGGTGAGGGGGCCTGCACTTGGGGCCAGTGAGAGTGGGGGCTAGGGCAGCTGCCTTATTTTAGGCTCCTGCAGTGCATCTCTTAAATTTCTGGAAGGACTCCAAGTCAAGTTCGGATTGGCCTCTCTGACCCTTCTAGCTGCAGTGTCACCGTGAGGGCTTCTCAATCATGCACAGGCTAGGGACCACCTGGGGATCTTGTGTTAGTAGGTTGTGGGGGGCCTGCTGTACTGCGTTTCTAACATGCCCAGGCATTGCGTTTCTAACATGGGGTCTACTGACCCCATGATGAACCACAAGATCACAGAACACTGGGGTCAGCAGTGAGGGCACATAGGTTTTGGCCCTGCCACCAATAAGGGCCTTGACTTTGGGTCCTGTGACTTCTTGGCCTGCGCTGGGTACCAGTGATCATAACAGTGGCCATTTACGGAGCTCTGGGAGGTAGAAGGCCAATGACAGGCAATACACTACAGAGGCCATTTATTCAGGAAAAGGTTACTGCACCCTCGCCAAGTATGAAGACTGAACTGGCTGTCATGGGGGTGCTGAAGGAGTGTTTTAGACCCAGTTGACCTGCAACATGCTTAAAGGAAGGCCATGGAGGTAGAGTGCTGGCATTTATGGAACACTTACCGAATGCCAGGTTTGGCACAAGGCATTGTCAAAATTTCTTACCTGATCCAAAAGAACCTTAAGAGGAGGGCATTGTTCATGCCCATTATACAGACGGCAGAGGTTAAGCCAAGCCTTAGGAGTGGACACTATCTTTCAGTCCAGCTCTATCTTGGGTAAGTTGATTTATGCCCCCGTGCCTCAATTTCCTCAGACTTCAGAACATTGCCTTGAGGAAAATGGCTATCAGCACTTAGTCAATGACATGATGTGCCATGTCAACTGTTGACTAATATTAAAGACAATGAGGAATCTGGGATGCTTGCAGGGTCTTCTGAAGTTTGAAGAAGCAGAGCCAGGTCTGTCTGATGCACCACCGTCCTTTCCCTCCGTGGGTTTTTCTGCTCTACACGCAGCTCTAGGAATGTTGGGACTGGCTTCGGAGGCACGATCATCAAGCCCTTTAGCCATCCTATGCTTCTGTGACATGCCCCCTGGGCATTCCTCTGCTTCCCAGGTTCGTGTCCTTCAGGGTCAAGGAACAGCCTGTGTCAGAAGAAAGTCTATCACCCCTTGACCGGAGGAGCGGCCACACCTGGGCAGAGAGAACCCGGCGGGTGAGACCTTCCTTGTGACAGTGGCAGCACTGGAATCTTCCCGCTGAACTGCTAATAAAGAGACAAGCTATTTAATCACTGTCCTGGCCTCTGGTGTGAGTGCTTGCTATTCATTCTTTAATCAGGCTCTTCCTGGACTGGGCTCTGGGGACACATAGACTGAGGACAGCCAGCTTTTTGGGGACAGAGATGCCAGGCCAGCACAGAACTGTATCAGCAGACCATGCTAGGTGTTCCTGGAACACTAGAAGGGGTGCCAGGCTGGGCCAGAACAGGAGGACTTACTGGGGGAAGTGTGGCTTCTTTGTTTCACTCAAGTATTTGTTTTATCTTTATTTCTTCTCTAGCTGTCTTCCTGTCTTTATGTAGATACTTGTCTTTTTTTTTTTTTAGGATTTTTATTTATTTATTTGTGTGTGTGTGAGAGAGAGAGCACAAGAAGGGGGAGTGGCAGGTAGAGGGAGAAGCAGGCTCTCTGCTGAGCAAGGAGCCTGATGCGGGGCTCTATCTCAGGACCCTGGGATCATGACCTGAGCTGAAGGCAGACACTTAACCCACTGAGTCACTCAGGTGTCCCTGTAGATCCAAGTTTCTGACCTATATTCTTTTCCCTCTCTGAAGAACTTTTAACATTTCTTGCAAGGCAGGTCTACTGGAGACCATTTCCTTTGATTTTTGTTTGAGAAAGTATTTCTACTCACTCTTGAAGGACATAAATTCTAGGTTTTTTTTCTTTGACACCTTAAATATATGCCCCACTCTCTTCTGGCTTGCATGGTTTCTGAAGTGAAGTCACATAATTTTTATCCTTGCTCCTCCTTAGGTAAGGAGTTTTTCCTCCTCTGGTTTTCAAGATTTTTTCTGTGTCTGATTTTCTGCAGTTTGAATATGCTGTGCGTAGGTGTAGAGTTTTGGGTATTCACCCTGCTTGGTTTTCTGAGTTTCCTGGATCGTTGTATGAGGTCCACCATTGCAAAATTCTCAACTACTATTGCTTTGAATATTTTTTCTGTTCCCTTCATTTTTCTCCTCCTGGTATTCTCGTTATGCATGTGTTATATCTTTTGTAATTGCCCCACAGTTTTAAGTTATTCTGTTCCACCTTTTTTTCCATTCCTTTTTTTTTTTTTTGTCTTGACTTTTCAGTCAGGAACTTTCTATTGACATTTCTTCAAACTCACTGATTCTTTCCCTGGTTGTGTCTAGTCTACAAATGAGTCCATCAAAGGCATTCTTCGTTTCTATTACAGAGTTTCTTATTTCTGGCATCTCCTGTTGATTTTTCCATAGGGTTTTCATTCTCTCTGCCTACACTGTCTATCTGTTCTTGTGTGTCATCCACTATTTCTATTAGATCCCTTTGCATATTTATCACAGTTTTAAATTCCAAGTCTGACAATGCCAACATCTCTGCCTTATCTGAGTCTGGTTCTGATGCTTGCCTTGTCTCTTCAGACTATTTTTTACCTTGTATCATACAGCATCAGGTTTTGTTGAAAGCCAGATATGCTGCAGGGGTAAAGGAATGGAGGCAGAGAGTGTGAGGTTTTATATTTATCTGGTTAGGAGTTAGGCTGTGTTTACTCTCTCCAGCAGCTGCAGTGTCAGAGATTAACATTTTTTTTTTTTGGTATTTTATTTTATTTATTTATTTTTTAAAATTTTTCTTTTATTTTTTTTATTCTTATGTTAATCCCCATACATTACATCATTAGTTTTAGATGAAGTGTTCCATGATTCATTGTTTGTGCATAACACCCAGTGCTCCATGCAGAATGTGCCCTCCTCAATACCCACCACCAGGCTAACCCGTCCTCCCACCCCTCTCCCCTCTAGAACCCTCAGTTTGTTTTTCAGAGTCCATCGTCTCTCATGGTTCATCTACCCCTCCGATTTCCCCCCGCTTCATTCTTCCCCTCCCGCTACCTTCTTCTTCTTCTTTTTTTTTTTTTCTTAACATATATTGCATTATTTGTTTCAGAGGTACAAATCTGAGATTCAACAGTCTTGCACAATTCACAGAGCTTACCAGAGCACATACCCTCCCCAGTGTCTATCACCCAGTCACCCCATCCCTCCCACCCCACCCCCCACTCCAGCAACCCTCAGTTTGTTTCCTGCAATTAAGAATTCCTCATATCAGTGAGATCATATGATACATGTCTTTCTCTGTTTGACTTATTTCACTTAACATAATACCCTCCAGTTCCATCCACATCGTTGCAAATGGCAAGATCTCATTCCTTTTGATGGCTGCATAATATTCCATTGTATACAGATACCACTTCTTCTTTATCCATTCATCTGTCGATGGACATCTTGGCTCTTTCCACAGTTTGGCTATTGTGGACATTGCTGCTATAAATATCGGGGTGCACGTACCCCCTCGGATCCCTACTTTTGTATCTTTGGGGTAAATACCCAGTAGTGCAATTGCTGGATCATATGGTAGTTCTATTTTCAACTTTTTGAGGAACCTCCATACAGTTTTCCACAGTGGCTGCACCAGCTTGCATTCCCACCAACTGTGTAGGAGGGTTCCCCTTTCTCCGCATCTCCACCAACATCTGTCGTTTCCTGACTTGTTAATTTTAGCCGTTCTGACTGGTGTGAGGTGGTATCTCATTGAGGTTTTGATTTGGATTTCCCTGATGCCGAGCGATATTGAGCACTTTTTCATGTGTCTGTTGGCCATGTGGATGTCTTCTTTGGAAAAATGTCTGTTCATGTCTTCTGCCCATTTCTTGAGTGGATTCTTTGTTCTTTGGGTGTTGAGTTTGATGAGTTCTTTATAGATTTTGGATACTAGCCCTTTATCGGATATGTCATTTGCAAATATCTTCTCCCATTCTGTCGGTTGTCTTTTGGTTTTTTTGACTGTTTCCTTTGTTTTGCAAAAGTTTTTTATCTTGATGAAGTCCCAATAGTTCATTTTTGCCCTTACTTCCCTGGCCTTTGGCGATGTTTCTAGGAAGAAGTTGCTTTGGCTGAGGTCAAAGAGGTTGGTGCCTGTGTTCTCCTTTAGGATTTTGATGGACTCCTGTCTCACATTGAGGTCTTTCAACCATTTGGAGTCTATTTTTGTGTGTGGCGTAAGGAAATGGTCCAGTTTCATTCTTCTGCATGTGGCTATCCAATTTTCCCAAAAGCATTTGTTGAAGAGACTGTCTTTGTTCCATTGGACATTCTTTCCTGCTTTGTCAAAGATGAGTTGACCATAGAGTTGAGGGTCCATTTCTGGGCTCTCTATTCTGTTCCATTAATCTATGTGTCTGTTTTTGTGCCAGTACCATGCTGTCTTGATGATGACAGCTTTGTAATAGAGCTGGAAGTCCGGAATTGTGATGCCACCGGCTTTGCTTTTCTTTTTCAACATTCCTCTGGCTATGCGGAGTCTTTTCTGGTTCCATACAAATTTTAGGATGATTTGTCCCATTTCTTTGAAAAAAGTGGATGGCATTTTGATGGGGATTGCATTGAATGTGTAGATTGCTCTAGGTAGCATTGACATCTTCACAATATTTGTTCTTCCAATCCATGAGCATGGAACGTTTTTCCATTTCTTTGTGTCTTCCTCAATTTGTTTCATGAGTATTTTATAGTTTTCTGAGTACAGATCCTGTGCCTCTTTGGTTAGATTTATTCCTAGGTATCTT